AATCGCTTGGACTCAGAGAGGCACTCTGATACGGGATGCTGAGGCACCTGTTGTGTCACAATACCAATCCCACACATGTGTGAACTTTAAATAAACAAAATAATTATGGCTGTTGTGTATAATACAACCTGTCACTGAGTGCATTTACATTTTAGGTAAACTAATTGCAGCAAATATATATCTATAATCTGTCTCTGTATCACAGTTTCTAAGATTAATTCTCAACAAGTGACAAGGCAGATGGGGTAAATTTATTTTCAGTTAAATGCAAATAATGATTAATTTCACATTTTTAATTTCTGCATCTATCCTCTCAATTTGTGTTAACTAATGATTATAAAATGATGACTCTAAAATGTGGCAACATAGAATTATGTTGTCTTTATCTTGATTCTCAAGAGAGTGCTACTTTTTTATATAATTATTTTTATTTTTGATGATTTTTACATAGTTGATTAGGGTGATAAAAGTCAAGGGCTACAGGAAGGTGGGTGAGATCACCATTTCCACATTCTCTCTCTTTTTTTTCCTTCCTGTGTCTAGGGGAACAAGGAAGATAAGGGGAGAAGCCACATCCAGCCTCCCAAACATCTCAAGGTCCCCAATGTGGGGAATACTCCAAGGGTCCTAATCAAGAGGATTTGGTAGTTCAACAGTTCTGAATTGCTTGCAATCCCACCACTCTAAATGTGGTGAAATCTCTCCAGAAACCCCTGATTAAGATAGTACACCTTAAAGTCTCTGTCAAGATATTCACTGCCAACATTTGACTGGGGTAGTTAATCAATTTGTTCTGTCATCTGTCCTCTGTTGTGGTACCAGGTGTTTGCAGACTGCCATGTCCTCCATGCGTACCTGGATATGCTGTCCACGGCTGCACCTAAGCCACTGAGGAGGCTCAGCTTTGACACATGCACTCCACACTCAGACCATGAAACCTGTAATTCTTCCCATGGTTAAGGTTCTGAGTCCAGTGGTTCAGTTGGTGGGCAATTGCCAAAGAAACCTCATCTGAAGTCATCCCACACCTGATTCTTGCGTGTATGCTTGACAATACAGGGACTGGTGCAGTCCATTGCCTCAGTCAGCTTATGCACATGCTGGTGGTTGCAACTGCTGAGTTGTTTCCAGCTGTGTCTTCTACACAATGTGCTGTAGCCCAGTCCAGCCTTTCCACTATACTCTCAGCCTTCACATACACCAGTGGGAGCTGTAGCCCTAGTCGGAGTGACTTGCAATAACCCCCACCCAGTCCCACCCCGTGCCCTGATTCCCATGCTTGCCAATATGTACAGCTGACAGTTTCAGTTTGTCCCACATCCCATTCAGTTGTCATATGTGTCAATGGGCATTGAAGCCTAGTTCAACCCAATAAGCCCCACTTTCCAGTCCACACATGTGCCAGCAGGTGCCACTCTCTGTCTAGCCATGACTGCCCCAGGCAGTGCCCTCTGTTTCTCTAATTGGCCCACTCCCACTCCTAGATCTTACACTCTCCAGGTGGCTCTGCAGTTTAGCTTGATGGAGTTTATCCCCATGATGCTGCAGCAAAACCCAACCAACCCACACTCACTCTAGCTTATGCAAACACCAATAGGAACAGTCAACACCCTGACTTTTCCCTGACTCAGCTCAGATGAGGCCAAAAGATGCTGTAGAGCTTTCAGACCTGGTCTGCCTCATCCTGACGCTCATGCTCATAGGTGGGAGTGGTGGTCCATCAGGGGAGTCCAATGCAACCCCCTCCTCCTGGGTTCTCATGTGTGCTGGTTGGACTCTGCAGCCCAGTCTGTCATAGCCTGCTTCACCTCAGCATTTGCCAGTGGGTGTTGTAGCCTGGCCAGGAACGGCCCACCCTCAATTCCAGCTCACACTAATGAGGGCTGCAGCCTAGCCCAGCCCAGCCAGCTCCTAGTCCTGGCCATCATGTGAAATGGCATGTGTTATGATTGAACTTGGCATGACCACACTCCATTCTGGTGCTTGAATTTGCCAGCAGGTGATGGCCCAGCCTGATTCACCCCTGATATGCACCAAATGTACACCAGAGGGTACCATACCCTGGCTTGGTCTGGGCTGCTCCTTACCGTAGTTCTTACACTCACCTGCAGGGACTGTGCCCCAACAAAAGAATTCCCCAGGCTCCACTATCAGAACCTCTCCCAATACAATATCTTGCACCCATTGTTGGGTTCATAGGCCAGCCCTACTTAGCCACCTCCTGTCCTAGTAGGAACAGTGGTCTTTCGTGATTTGCCTTCAGCTCATTCTGGTTTTCACTAATAGGTGTTACAGCCCAGCCAAGCCCGGTCCACACCCAGACATAGTTTACACATGGCTCAGCGGGGCAGAGGCCTAGCCTAATCCATTCTACACCTCCCCTGGTTTTCATGAGCACTAGCAGGTGCTGGAGTCTAGCCCAGTCTGGTGCAACCAAGACCCAGTCTACATTTGTGCCAAGAGACACTTGCAGCCAAGTCCAGATCACATCACTCTGGCCTTGGCACTCACTAGTGGGAATCACAACCCAGCCAGGACATCCCCTTAGCTCCCCAACCAGGCCTGTTCCCAGCCATAGATCTTGCACATGCCAGTGGTTGCTGTAACCCAGCTTGGCATAGTCCCTCACCTGTCTTGGCCTTTGTCTTTGGGTATTGCATCCTGGCCTGACTTGGCCTGCTCCCAATCCCAGCACTTTCTAGTGGGATGCTGGAACCTGGCCCTGCTCAGTCTGCTGCCATCCCTGGCTCATGAAAACTGGTAAGTGTGACAGCCTAGCCTTGCATGGCCTGCACTCCAACCTGGTTTCTGCTCTTGCCAATGAGCTAAAGTTCGCTTGGCCCTGCCCAGTCCTCCCCCTTCCAAAACCGACCCACACATTAACCAATAGTTGAAGCTGTCTTGCCCAGCTTTCTAGATCCCCATGCCTAGACCATGCACTCCCCAGTGGGAGCAATGGCCCACTAGGGGAGTTTCCCAAGTTCCTCCACTCAGCGCACACCCAGACCCAGATTTCACATGTTCCAGTGGGTGCTAGGTTCTTGCCTGCCACAGCCTGTCCCTGCATCTTAGCCTTATTTGAGCCAGTGAATGTTGCAGCCCAGCCTGCCCAACAGCCTGTTTTCTGATGTACATGCAGGTGCTGCAGCCTGGACCTACCCAGGCTATTCTCAGTCCCCGTTCCCATGAGTGATGGCAGGTTCCATGGTCACACCTAGCTCAGCCCATCACCACCCCACCTCTTGAGCTATTCAGCAGGACTTGTATTTCTACAGGATTTGGCCCACATATCCCCAAGAACTTGTGCTGGTTAGTGTCATGTCCCTGCCTAATGTGAGCCATCCCTTGTTCTGACATTCAGTCAGGTACCGGGATCTTTCCCCCTGCTAGACAGGTTCCCAGCCCTAGCTTTCATGTAGACTAGTGTGTGGTGGTTAGCAATGTTCTAGGCTAACAAGCCATACTCAGTTCTCCTGTGTAGGTTTGTGTATCAGTCTGACCAATACAGATCTTCCCATGTCTCTCTTTCTTCCAAACCACCAGGTCTCAGTTCCCTCGCTTACCTTTAAGTAGTCCTGTTGTTGGGAGTACCTCAGGATTCATTCTTCACCTACACGTATGTTGTCCTATCCATAGATGTCTCAAGGTTTATTCCACACCCCCACAACCCCAGAGCAAAGCTCAGCACTATTGGAACTCTGGACACCTGCAAGCCCAGGATTCACTCACCGCTTAGCAGTGGTGGCTGTGGCTAGGACCCCAAGTGTTAAGTCTAACCTGGCTCAGGTACCCCCAGCAGCCACCACACTACTAACAGCTCCATCCACCCCTCCCCACAGCATCTTAGTGCCTGCACCAAACACCTACCCAGATTCATGTTTATAAAAATAATAATATCACAGAGTTCACAGAACAAAATATCAAATTGTGCTTTTAACACTTTTAAATCTTCAGGGAAAATGAAGCAAATCATCTTTTGATGTGAAAAGTTGCAGAAATGAGTTCACACTATTTCTGTGTGATTAAGTCCATGCAGAAACAATAATTATTAGCATCAATTGAAAATTGCTTTACAGAATTTCCCTTTGATAATGATGATTGTGCCAGGCAGGCACTTTGTGTCCAATTTTTCCACTTAACAAAATTTAGGGACAACTCAGTAGTGATTACTAGGTCCTAAAACTTAGTTTCTGGACTCATCATATTATGAGTGAAGATTGTGAGATTTTTTTTTAATAATTAAGTTGAAAACACTTGCTGTCTCTAAAATTCATGGGAGTTAAAACATTTAAGGAATATGGAGGAAAACCAACAGAATAGCAGCAAATAAACAGGTTTTTGGGGAAGCATCAGTACACATGGAATGCATCTGTGGGGAAACAAAGTTGATATTCCAACATCCTAGCTTCCAATAATTCAGTCTTCAAAGAGAGAGTTATGGTGCTTTCTATTCCAAGATAACCTGTGGAAAAGCATGTGAGTGCACCAAAAGCAGCCAGCAATCTGTAAGTGATGCTAAGAAACCAACCCTGTCGACAGCCTGAACTCAACCCTTCTCTCCCTCCACTCTGTTGAGACACTGATGTTTTACGATATAGGCTCCCCAGTGTGTAGTAGTTCATTATAGCCACCCTAGCAACTTAAGCCAATACCATAAATAATGAATTTATCTTCATTAGGTAATATATGAGTTGTTCAAAAAGAGAAGATTTAAGATTGAATATTCAGAAATCAGATTCACATAAAAATCTGAAAGAAAGAAACCAGGGCACTGAACAAGCAGGTAAACAAAGTGTGGAAATAAGGATCAGTGAAAAGCACAAAATGATTTTTTTAGTACAGTAAATTTTATCACAATGTTTCAATCTCCATGATATCTTTGTTTTGGCTAACTTGAAAAAAACGTATAAATATTCTCTAATCTAAAAAGGTTTTATTCATTAATTTCATCATAACATCACAATTTTGAAATTACTAATTTTTCAAAATGGTGTTTATATTTATTCCGAAGATAAACTAATGTTTGAAGAACCATCTTTAAAAACTTCCCCACTTAAAATAAGCTTTAAGGCTTTCCTAAACCAAGGATAAAATAAAGCATAAATTAAAGGATTCATGGCTGAGTTATAATAAGCACACCAACCAAAGATCTCATAAACATAAGCAGGGGTTATAAAACCCATAAAGGCATCCACTAATGTATCAATTATGTACGGAAACCAGGACATCATGAACGCTATCACTGTGACTCCCAGGGTTTTAGCTGCTTTTCTCTCTCTTTTGGCCACTCTGACTTTGTAGCTTTCTGAAGATGATTCTGCTTTGCTACTGGTGCATTCGATTTTCATTGCTTGTTGCTTAGCCACAAGGAAAATCTTACTATAAAGAGTGATCATAACCAGGTTGGGAATGAAAAACAAGAAGAAATTAATCAAAACCCAGTCTTGGTTCACTGCAATTTGACAGCCACCTACACAGTTGAGAGCAGTTACTAAGCTTTCCAAGCCGTCATCATTGACTCCTGTGGAGAACACAGCCCAGCTGTACACCATGGGCAGAATCCAGCAGATGCTGATGCAAATTCCTGACACAAGCACTGTGAACTTGGTGGGATACACTAGAGGGTCCGTGACAGCAATGTATCTGTCAATAGAGATGAAACACAGATGGAAGACAGATGTGTAACAAAATGCCACATCACAGCAACTGTGAAAGGTACAAAATTTGCTTCCGAAGTACCAGCAGCTCTCCACGGACCTGACCATGCTGAATGGCATCACAGTCACCCCCACCAGAAAGTCGGCACAGGCCAGAGAGGCGATGAGGAAGTTGGTGGGGGAGTGCAACTGCTTGAAATGCAGAACAGACGTCATCACCAGGAGGTTCCCGAACACAGCCAGCAGGGACCCGAAGCCGAACACCGTGTAGAGAAGCACCCGAGGACCAAGAGAATAGGAAGTTTTCACACAGGATCCGTTCACCTGCTCATAGCACAGCTGCTCCACAGGTTGTGAAAAATTTCTACTCATTTTTCTGCTTTGTGGTATGCTTGCTGTGCCTGTCTTCTTTGATAGATTATAATTATATGGAATGCTGAAAAATTAAAAAATATATATATACTTCATGTCTTAGCCAGTGACCTTAACTATTGTCTCATTATTTTTCTTTTCCTACACTGGTCACAAAAGAACTGGTTTTGAAAAGTGGAAAAAATGCTGCCCCTTTCTTTGTTTACATAATTAGTACTGTTACTGCGTGTAACTCGGAGTTCCCCACATAGAAGTATTTCAATTTTACATCAGCCCAGAATAGTACCAACCAAATAGAAAATTTTAACGCCAATACCTACCCTTTGTATCCATCAAGTTCTTCCCTTAGAAGAATTATCTCATGCAATATGATTACATATTTAAAAAGTTCACCCTTTAATAGCCTCCTTCTCCTAGGGATTTTAGGAAACCAGCCAAGCAACGTCACCCACTCTACCTTCCTAACAAGGAGTCCCTACAGTGCAAGGTGTGAATCACAGAAGGAAACTTGCATCTAATCATTATAATTCCCGAGTTCTCCACACATCATGACTCTCTATGCTCTGCTACTTTGTAAAATCACATGATTTTTATCATCAGGATGTTTCTTTAAGTTTGAGTGTTTCGAGGTAGCTTACCCCAATGTTTCACACTAATGTTGCCTATTCTGTGTTGGACAAGGACTTTTGTTTAAAAAATATACACAGGAAAATTGTTACAAAAATGTATTTGTGTCACAGGAGTTCATATCATTACACAATCGTTTCCAGCTGCACGTATTCCATTGCAAAAGACAGGATTTCTTTTTTATGAGTAGTGCTTATATATAATCCTTATATATAAAAATTTAAATATCCTGCTTTTTTCTTGTAGATTTTGAAATTTCTCAAATTTCTTTAATGGCTGTGATTTTTCTTTTTGTTGTTGAAATATCTTTTGGAAAGCTTATCTGGTGGTGATGAACGTTTTTCTTGCCTCAGAAAACATTCTTTCTTCTCCGTATAGGATAGAGGGCATAGCGAAAGAAGATATTTTTATTGAAAGTGTTTTTTTTCACGCAAGATATATACTTAGATTCCCCCAACAATTGTAAGGTTTCTGCTTAGAAGTTTGCTGTTCATCTAAGGAAAGCTCCTCTAAATGTGACTTGACATATTTTTGTGGATCTTCAGTTGTTTGCATTGAACATTTGAGAGATAATTTATTAAGTGACTTTTTTCAGAATATGTGTATATAAATGTAAGTTATTCAAACTGGGGAAATTTTTAGCCATTTTTTTTTTGTGTAGATGCCCATGCATACCTCAACTTCTCTAATCCCTTATCAGATTTTCACTAATTAAAAAGTGTTGGAAAGGTCCCTAACAATCTGTCTCCAGTTTCCCTACATTTTTTTACTTTAATCATTCACTTATTTTATAGGAGATAAATAGAGCACATTACATTTGTTTCAGGTATTATTTCTTCTGCTGAACAGTTGTGGGGACTCTTTATTTTTCATTTGACTGTTAAGTGTTTTGATTCTCAGATTCCTTCCAAGATTGAGCAGATTGCAGTGAACACCACTACAACCACCTGGCCGTAGAGTACATATGTGGGCCCAGACTGCATCTGGAAACTGCTAAATTCATCATGGGTAAATACTAATCATCCCTGTAACCAATCCAGTGACCAGGGATGGAAACTGGTAGCACCAGATGTAGAGGGCTGCCTCAGCTGCTTTATAGCTAAGCAAGTGTTACACTGCTGGGAGAAAAGCAACCAGTACGTGGCAGGTCCTTTGGGCCTGGCTAATATCAAATCTGTGATAACTATACCAGTGTTGCCTATTTTATTTTTCACAAAAATATTAAACTTATTAAAAATATATTTTAAAATTTTATTTTTATTTTATTTTTAGTATTGTTTCCATAGTTGAGAGGAGTGCGTGCCCATATGAGTCTCCAATTAAGATGGGGAGAGTTAAAGTTTGAAAGAAGGCAGGTGGAACAAATGTTTTAATTTTTCTTTCTCCTCTGTCAGCAGGGAGGAAAGGGGAGAGGGCAGCTAGTTCTTGTCAAACCACATCAGTACCCTGGGATGAGGGAACAGTCATTTGATGATGCCTTAGAGACCATGAGTAAGGTAGAATGTTCTGAGTGTGTCATTGAGTGGTTTTGATAGTTCTGAGATGTCATCAGAAAATATTTCCAAGGTTCATTGGCTGATCAAGTCTATCTTAGCACATCCAGAAACTCAGGAACATGTTGCAAAGTTTGGCCTAGAGAGGTGCAGCCTATTCTTTCCATCCTCTGAAGAGGTGCTCCATGTCTCCTACTGGCCTAAATAAGATGGCTGTCATGTCTGCTGTGTGCATCTGGGCATGCTGTCCACTGCACAAGCATCAGCCACTGAAGAGGTCCAGTCTCGACAAATTCACTCTAAGGTGAGATTACACACATTGTAATATTTCCTGTGGCTGGGGTTTGAATACAACCATCTAGTTGAGGAGACCCTCCAAGAAACCTCATCTGGTGTAACCTTAGCTTTGACCCTTGTGTGCGTCAGTCAGTGCAGGGTCAGGTTCAGTCGACCATTCAAGTAACACACTCAGAAAACTCTTCCCCTCATTGTAGTCTCTATGGTGTCATCAGATGACTGACTCCACCCCCAGATGCTGATTTAATTTGACTGCAAGAAGTTGCCCCCTCCCCTACCTCTTTGTGGACATAGGGCGAAAATCAAACCATTCCCACCCACATTCCTCCATACCTTCACCCTCTCATCCTAATTAGAGGCCCACATGGGCATTCATCACTCTCAACCATGTAAACAATATTAAAAACTAAAATGAAAAGTTAAAACAATTACATATAATAAAACATACAAATCTGTGTACAGGACAATGGCTCTATGGCCAAATCCTTGCCTTGAAAAGTGCTGGGATCTCATATGGTTACTGGTTCATATCCCAGATGCTCCACTTCCCTTCCAGTTCCTTTCATATGCCTGAGAAAGCAGTAGAGGTTGACCCCAAGCCTTGGGACCCTACACCCGTGTGGGAGACCCAAAAGAAACTCTGGCTCCTAGCTTCAGATCAGCTCAAATCATTTGGGGAGTGAACCTGAAGATGGAAGCTCAATCTCTTTCTCTCTCTCTCTCTTTCTCTTTCTCTCTCTCTCTCTCTGTTTATAAAATTAATCTGCCTTTCCAAAAAAGAAAAAAAAATAGATCTTAAAAAAGTACCAAGAAAGAAAGAAGGGAAAGAAAGAAACAGAGAGAAGGAGGGAGGGAGGGAGAGAAGTAGGAAGGATGGAAAGAAGGAAGGAAGGAAAAACTAGTAAATCCATTACTGGGCAGATATTAAAGATCTCTGAACCCAGTCCAGTGACTGCATTTGGAAAAACCTGGTCTCTGTCTCTTTGTTGAATTGCTCATTCATATCAGATGTTGTTTTCTGAACTTCATCTAAGTGTCTCTTCATATTCTCTTGCATCTCTTTGACCAGCCTCGTAGTTGTTCTTTCGAATTCAGCAATTGTTTCAACAATATCATTTTGTTGTGAGCCTATTAAAACCTTGTTGTGTTCTTTGAGGGCTGCACACTGTCTGGTAGTTCTCATATTCCATCTGATCCTATGTGGATTTTTACGCATTTAGCTGATTAGTTGCTTCCCCATGTTTTAGTGAGTAATTTGTGACTTAAAAGCTTTATGTTGAGGATGTATTTTTGGATATTGATTTTGTAGGTCATTTTGGCTTAAGTTCTGCGTGGGTACTCCAATGTAGTTTCCACATGTCTTTTTCCATGGCAGTAACAGTAGTGGTACACTGTGGTCCTCTCGGTGTCAGGAATGATATCTGTCTCGGTGGCAGTTCGTAGCATATTGTCTTAGGTTGTTGGGGTGTTTCCCTCATTCTGAAGTGGCTGGCGTTACAGGAGTGCCAAGCCGGGGTTTTAAAGGAGTCCGTTGAATCTGTGTTAGAGGAGCATAGGCATGTCATAGTAACACTGATGTGAACTCTAATAGAAAATCATGGTTGTCTCCACTGCAGTGCTAGATGATATTCAGAGTTCAGAGCCTGCCAAAACCAAACAGAAGAGACCAAGGTTCTTTTTCACCAGCCTTCTTGCTGCCGTGGGTACTTACATTTAAGGCAGCGGAAACCATAGCATATATGTTGGGGCCAGAATACAAATCCAATGGACTAGAACCATTGGTCTCCACCGGGGATGAGGCCAGATCCATGTTTTCCATCCACAGTCAGTGGATTTGGTACAGAGACCATTAGTAGCTGCCCTATAACTGATTTACCAGTTTCAAGACACAGTCCAGGTTCATTCTGTTGCCCCTCTGCCAGGCGGCTGTAATGGCGTCCAATGCTATCTGCTTGATGTTAGCAGGATGGTGAAGGCAATTGCTTTGTTGCACAAGACGATCTAAGCACAGAAGTCCAGGCCGTATCTAGTGCCAAACTGACCTTAGTCAGACCAACCCTGAATTTCAAGTTCAAGACCTAACTCATGTTCTACCTAACTCCCCAGAAACTAGAATTTTCCTTATCTATCTGGAGGTTGGGGCAGTTTGGTGGAGGTAGTCCTTTGCCTTACTGACTTGAGAGGGTAGTAACCGTTCACTCTGTATGTTGCAACCAACGGGCATCAATGGTGAGATTCTTTCCAGGTGTGGTCAGGTGCGGAGTTTCAAGAGTAAGGTTCAGACTCATTTCCTTCCTTCTTGCCCAATCAGAAGATCTCTTCCTCCATGCTTTTCTTTTTAGAGTGAGGGGCAAATGATGTGGGAAAATTTCTAGGATGAATGCCTTCTTCAAGGCTGCTGCTTCTGCTGCTTATTATCATTTATTATTATTATTATATCAGGAAGCCTCTCACCAGCTTCCTAGCTCATGGAAAAGTTACTTGTGCATGCATGGATAGTTAAATTTGTCTCTTACTTTTCTTTTAGAATTTAAAATCTATTACTTTTCCATTAACCCAGCCATGTTATTTAAAGCTCTACGT